TCGTTAACCTTACAAAAAAGTCCTTACCCTGTGGCTATTTTTTTGTGACTTCCATGCAAAAAATGCCTGTGCACAAAAATTTATTTCGATTTCAAATGATTCATATTTGACTTCTTGGCGAGTACATTGAAAATTATAATTGACTTCAGCTAACATTTTTTCTTCTTGGCAAGTACTATTAACAATTATTTTATTTCAGTTAAAATAGGACGTGTTTCAATCTGAAGTTATATATTCAAATATTTTAGCTATGGTTCTAATAATTTTTTTGTTGTTCTCTTCAGTTCAAGCTAATGACAACATTCCTTTGTTTACACCCATTAAGTTTCTTACCACAGGAAAACGTTCGGCTGAAAACTTGAGAACAACCACAACCCTGGAGCCTTTTAAAGAAGAAAATAGAACTGGAGGGTTTCTTTGTCCAATGCCTGGCAGAAAGTGGATTAGCCAGAATCAACGGTTTGACCTTGTTTCGCACAATTTTTTCATTTATCACTTTTTTGTGGTTTCCCTATTTACTAAGTGCTGGCTCTAAAATATTATGTCTAAAACTAGTTCTCACCACAACTTTCACATTTGAAATTATGTAGAAATTTGTTCGCTTTGACCCGCTACACATTTTATTGCAGTTAAATTATCAAAAACAGTTAGTTTTTTCTTTTCAAAAAAAGGAAATCGGAAAAAAAAGTTGTTCCCTGTTTTGGCTCTTTTCCAGTTCCCCCTTTCAAAATACCGAGTTTTATGTTTAAATTACGTGTTATTACGGCTAAATGCGTAATTTTACGCTGTAAGGTATGAAGAACAAATCTATTCACAGTTGTCGATTCACCACGCCAAATTTCATTTCATTATAACAACGTTAAATAAACTTTTCAAAATTGAATTTGAAAGGGGGGAAACTAGAAAAGAACCACTGTTTTGTCGCAAAGTTAGTTGAAAACAACCTCAAATGAGAGAAGTGTGAAAGCTAAAACCTTTTTAACAATTAGCATTCTTTTTTATTGGTATAGGACTTCGGGTTTTCGATCTCTTAAGAACAAAATTAGGTTTTCAATCTCCAAACTTTTCTATTTTTAACCACCACTTTGGACAATTTTAACGTATAATCGTAATGAAGGTTTTCATCCAGTGCATTTTTCAATGCAAAGTTTTCCTTGCCTTTTGAGCTGAACAAAACTTTATAGCGCTGATACACTCCGCGTCATAATTTTTCGTACCATCTTAAAACGAGGTAAACACTTGTTTAAAGACAAAAGTTGGCCAAACTTTTTCGTACCCTTAGGTTTTAGTTGGAAATTGTCACGAACTGCGCGCGAATGGTTCTGCTCACATGCACTAAGGCGAGATCAGTTTGTTCAGTTTTTGCTCAATTTTTGTTCAATTCGTTCAGTTTTTGACATGCACTCACGCGAGATTATCGAGTTAGCGAAAGAAAAACATGCAAATGGTTTTTCAAATCGCCTAGTCAGCCAAGAACTGAGTTAACCAAGATCAACAGAGCAGTATATGATCAAGAATTATTGCTCAAGAGTGAAAGCAAAGCGGGGACCCAAGCATGTGGCCGTTGGCTTCAAAAAACTGTGTGTAAAACGTTGCGCTGCTCTGCTGAAAAAACGCAAAGAAAGGGTGACAGCCTCAAAAACCCTGAGGGAGTCAGCCCTCAAAATCAGCAGAAGAACGGTTCATCGAGCTTTATCAAGAATGAGTTATGGGTACAAAAGTTCAAAGTTCACGTTAATTTGGACCAAAAAGCAGATAGAAAATCGAGTACGCCTCTGCACTGAATGGTTTACTAAAACAAAAAACTGGGATGAAGTCGTATTTAAGGATGAAAAAAATTTAAACTAGACGGACCCGACATCTGGTGTTCCCGGATGGAGGAAAATCATCAAGTTGACCTCAATAAACGCCAATGTGGGGGTGGTTCCCTAATGGTCTGGGGTATGATTTTTTCGACCGGTCCCATTTTTGTCAAAACGGTATCCGGTCGAACAAATCCAGACACTTACATCAAGCTTATGAAAGACACTGCCATCCCTTTAATGAGAGACATTCTCCCCGATAGTTTCCTTCTGCAACAAGACAATTGCAGTATTCATGTTTCAAAAAAAAGTTTGGACTTTTTTTGAGGAGACGGGAATTGAGCTTCTCTTCTACCTTGGCCCAGCAGGAGCCCTGACCTCAACATCATGGAAAACGTGTGGAGCATGTTGAGTTCAAGGGTTTGTGATGGTCCGCATCCGAAAAACAAACAAGGACTGGAAGAAAGAATTTTCGAAGCTTTTCTGAACTTTCTGAACTTGTTAAAACTCTAATCTCATCGTTGCATAGTCGTTTCTTATCATGTGTTACGGGAAATGGAAATAAAGTTTCTGACTTACCTTTCATATACATTTCTGAAATGGTACGAAAAATTTTGCTTTGAATTGATGAAATTGCATGTATTTAGATGGCACGCAAAAATGTGACGCATAGCGTATGAAACAAAGGTATGAGAAAAACTAAAGGAATATTTTCATGCTGGTTCGTTTTCTCTTATTCGGTTAGATTTGGACTATCAAGGCATTTTCAGGGTCCAACTAAATTAGCAAAACTTTGCAACAAAAAACACCATAAAAACGGTTCTCTGGATTTGATTCAAAACTGCTGAAGCCAACATGCTCAATTGTGCTAATTTTTACCTGTTGCACCTTGAATATTAAACCTTTTGAATTGTTCCGATCTGATCACATGATTTTGCTTAAAACTAAGCAAATTAAATTGCAACAAAAAATTACAATTTAAATTTCAATTTATTTTTCCGTCATTCCTAGTCAAAAAATTTTTTCTTTCGAGAAAACAAAAATAAAATTAATTGTTTTAGTTCTTTTTATCCATTTATGTCAGCTCAGTGTTATTAAGCTTGTTCAGCTCAAAATGTAATGAAAAATTCTTAAACTGCAAAATATGAAAACAATCCGGCTCTTTTCCTGTCCCCTCCCCCCTCTATATTTTTTTCTGAAAATCACTACATGAAAGTCTATTTAAAATGAATTTCAATGAAATGAACTGCATCAAAACGTAACAGCGTGAACAGGTGAACAGCTGAACATTTCGGGTCGTATGCACTAAACGGTCCAAAATCAATTTTTCTGCATCGTAAGCTGGAAATTATGCGATCAAATTTGATTGGTAATTTTAGCCAATCAAATTGAAGTTACACGGTCAGGTATTCCGATCAACTTCTCTAGCAGATAAAAATATTAGCCGAAATTGCCGCAAAGGTGGAACTTTGAGTCAAATTAAATTTGAGTCGCTTGTTAAACCTTGCCCAGACGAGCAAAGTTCAGTAAAATGGCTTGACAAATTAAAATTAATTTTTCTTTATAATTTCGGCTAATAATTTTATCAGCTTGAAATTTCAATTGAAATGGCAGAAAATGTCGACGGAACTTGATTGGTTAATTAGCCATTCAAATTCATCCGCAATAATTTTAGTTCAAGATACGTAGAAATAATGAATTTGGGCCGTTTAGTGCATATGACCCAACATTTCTTACAAGAAAAAAGGCGTTAATACTTTTTGAACAGCTTCGTTTTGTTATTTTACGAGGCGGTTGGGAAACTGGAAAACACCCAAAAATCCAAGTTTGTGAAGTTTATCAACGGACCTTGGCAAATCTTTCCTGTCTGCTGCAAGAAACGTTCCTTCAATAACCAAAACATTTGAGAAATGGAAAGGAAATTATTAAAAAAAAACATACTTTAGAAACTCCTTGTATTCATTTATAAAAACAATGAAAAGTATTTATCCGTATAAAATTATCGCGTACCTGTGCTGTTCGTTGCATTGCAGATGAGTTTTCTGTAATACGTAATTTTTGAACAGCAAATACTTAGCACTGGATTTGGGTTTCTGTGATCATGTTTAAATCTGGCTATGATAAGCGGTGCATAGTTGCTTTTTTGGATCGATTCGTTTTTTTTTTGAGTGATATGAATTGATGTCCTTGATTTGATGTGCATACCCGCATTTAAGAAAAGGTAAAACAAATCGATTATATTGGATTTTCGTGGTCTATAATGTTGTAAATATAATTGATTCCCATGTTTAGTTCAGACAACAAAATTGGACTAAAAATGGATTTAAATCCATTTCTTCTCGCAAAAAACAAAATGCATTGTAATTCATTTTGAATCCATTATAACGGATTTTATAATAAGTAGGAAATCACTTAAAATGGATTTCTTTCCCACTTTATTTTTGTTTCGCGCGTCGTGCAAAACTTTGCAAGAATTTCGGCATTTATCAAGTGA